AAAGCGTGATGCTTTTAGGAATATTTTTGTTTGTGTAAACTGTTATATGCTAAGTTTCAACTTCTAGTTTCCTGAAAAATATATATTTAAATAATACCTGTGACTATTTGATTCAAATGTAAGTTCTCTTGATATGATTTTTTCATTCAGATAGATATTCAATTTGAATTAGGTAATATATTAGAATATAAGGTATCAGATATTGTTATTTGGAATTATAAACACAGAAATTTAAACTACAAACCTGGAGATCAGTGGTTCTCGACTAGGCAATGTTCTGCACTCCACATTTAGCGTTGTCTGCAGACAGCAGTTTGCGTTGTTAAAACTGGCATCTGGGGAACCAGCAGTTAGCGTAATGGCTATGTCGCTGGACTCCCACGTAGTCGACCGCGGTTCGTGTCCCGGACCCAGTGGCTTAAAACTCACGCCGGGCACGTGTGCGTGCGTGCCCAAGATCCCGAGAGGAGAATGGAGGAGAAGGGATTGTGGCGTGACCATCCCCCCTGGGGGGTGATTTCTCGCTTTCTGTCTCTATGTCTCTCTCTGTCTGTCTGGCGAGCGCACGCGCCCTACAGTGAAAATCTCTCAAAAAAAAAAACAAAAAAAACCTGGCATCTGGTGGATGGAGGTCAGAGAGCCTACATTGCCCAGCACAGCTGCCAACAACAAGAAACATCCAGGCAAAAATGTCAGAGGTGCCACTTTGGACTAACCCTACCTTCCTTAAAGCTTTGAAAAAGTTTCTTCAGTGGCAAAAGTTTATCCTATTGTAATCCAAAGCTTTACATTCTCCCAGGTTTAGATCCCGTCTAAAACTTTCTGCAAACCATTTGAAAAGAGTTGACAGTTAAAGCAAAATAAAATCCTTCACATAAATACCTACATATTTCAGCTCATATACTAATTTATAAATAATACATTGGATACTATGGCGAATAGCATTTTATTTTTGGGAATAAAAATTTGACTTTATGGACCAGCAGATGGCTTGGAGGTTAAGGCTCTGAATCCCACATGGCCTACCCGGCAGCTAGACAATCACACTAAGCACTTCTGCATGCATATCCAAAATCATGAGAGGAGATCAGAGGAGAAGGGATGACACCATCTACCCTGGGGGGTGATTTTTTTTTTAATCCACCCCCATCTCTGGCAATAGCACATGCTCTTATAATAAAAGCTAAAACTTAAAAAGAAAATTTGACTTTATATTTGGTAATTATGTTGTGTTTGGGTTGTCAAATTGCTAAAAATGTGTTGTTCTATAACATTTTTTTAATTATGATTTCTTTGGGGGGGTGTGTTTTGCTATAGTGTGCGTGCGCTCACCAGAAAGACAGAGACAGAGAGATAGAAAGCAAGAAATCACCCCCGCCCCTTACAGGTGATGGCCACGCCTTAATCCCTTCTCCTCCATTCTGCTCTCAGGATCTTGGGCGTGTATGCAGATGCACCTGGCATGAGTTTAAGCCACCAGGTCCAGGACTCGAACCACAGTCAACTATTACACCAACTGTTGGTCCCTAATTATGGCTTTTAATGAGTAGCTTTTGTTTTGTTTTATAATTTGCTGGAGGGTATCTACAGTTGCCAGAGGGGTAGAAAGGGAGAAAGCACCCCAGCCCCATGAGGCATCATGCCACAATCCTGTCCTCCATTTCTCCCTCCTTTTCAGATTTTGGGCATGTATATACATGTGCCACACCCAGCATGTTTTTCAAGTTGTCAGGCCTGTGTGCAGTCCAACTCCTTTAACCACCAAACCACAGGCCAGCCCTAATAATTTGCTCTTTTTAATATGTAATTACTTTTTTCTGGACTTCCCACTTTCCTGTCCCATTTCTTTTGTTGTAATAGTATAGAGTATAAGCAGACTACTTTTGTGAAGTAACATAGCATCTTTTTGTCTGAATGTGTTCAGACAAAATTTTCTCCACTCTCATATTATATGGCAACCAGGCAGTCAGCCTTAATGATTGCTGATTATGGATTTTTTCTTTCTTTTCTCTCATACTTAAACTGCATAAATACAGATATACAAAGGTAATCTAAGATTTTAATTACAGCTCATTGCAAAGGGAACTGTTTTGATGTTATATACGTTAGTTTTCTCTATTTAAGGTGGTCAGTTAAATTTTTCTAGTTCCATAAAAAAAAAGTCATTTTCTTTTTACGTAAAGTTCTTATTTTCAGAAAAGTAATCCCATCATCTGTAAGACATCCTTAAAAGCCTCATCACTTTTTTTTTTTTTTTTTTTTTCATCCGTTTGGGCCTCATCTCTTTTTTTTTTTTTTTTTTTTGTAGTAGAGGTTTTTGCTATAGGGCGCGTGCACTCGCCAAACAGACAAAGAGAGACAGAAAGCGAGAAATCACCCATCAGGGAAGATGGCCACGCCACAATCCCTTCTCCTCCATTCTCCTCTCGGGATCTTGGCCATGCACGCATACGCACCCGGCGTGAGTTTAAGCCACCAGGTCCAGGACTCAAACCGCGGTCGAATAAGTAGGAGTCCAGTGACATAGCCATTACACTAACTGCTGGTCCCAAACCTCATCACTTCTTGAGGAAACCATAACACCAAAGTTTAAAGAGAAAGTTTAATAATACTAACCATTTTGGGACATGTTTCCTAGTAGTTTATAGAGCAGTTCTCATTTATGTTATTAACAGTTAGTAATATTGCCACCATAATCAAATTGCAGATTATGTGAGTATCTTGTTGAATTTGCTTAATAGAAATTTTTAAAATTTATTTATTTGAAGAACATTCTAGATGAGAAATCTTTTTTGGGCTTTGTATATGTATGTATGTATATTATACTTTTATAAAGAATATAGATAAAAATTTCTTACTCCTTTATGTAAAATTAAAACTTAATATCAGCGGAGAGGACATATTTGTATCTTACTCATTGTCTTTGAACTATTTAATGTACATCATTTAGTTGTCTGGGAGTTAAATGTACATCATTTGGTTGTTACTGTTGGATTTGTTCATTGTTCTCAAGTCTCACTTAAGATCGACTTAGCTAAACATATAAAATATGACTTGTTTTAAAGGGTGAAGTTGAACAGATCGCTATGATGAAACCAAAAGGCCAGACTGAACATGATGAGGGTATGCTTGAATATTTAGAAGATATAATTGGTTCTGGACGGCTAAATGAACCTATTAAAGTCTTGTTTTGGAGAGTTGAAATATTAAATGAACACAGAGGAGAAAAGGTGAATCTTCTATAGACTTTTGTTGTAAATCAAAAGGTTTGTTTATGAACCACCAAATTTTGCTTATTGTCAGACATATCAGCTGATAATTATTAAAGAAATGTTTACTTGGCGAGATCAAATCATTTTATTGAGGGGTTTAAAGATGGAGGGGTGGTCAAAGAAATGTACAGAAGGGCACTGAGATCCAATGGCCCGATCACGCATGCAGTCACCCAAAGTGGAAATGTTAACTGTCTTAGATTGACGTTTATATTCTTATATTGTCAACCTTTAAACATTCTCATTAATGCAGTTCACTTATTTTTATCTAATGCTGGCCTATTTTTAATTTGGATTTTAAAACTTTAAAACTTTTAATTTTTATAGCTAAATAGAGTTAAAATGGTGGAAAAGGAAAAGGATGCCTTAGAAGGAGAGAAAAACATAGCCATTGAATTTCTTACCTTGGAAAATGAAATATTTAGAAAAAAGAATCATGTTTGTCAGTATTACATGTAAGTACGTTAACTTACCAATTTTTAAACTAGTTTCTAACCATATTAAGTCAAAGCCATTCTCTATTGCTATATAAGAAAAGTACAAGGACCAGTAGATGGCATAATGGTTACCTCTCTGGAATCCCACATAGTCTGTTTGGTTCAAGTCCTGGACCCGGTGGCTTAAAACTCATGCCAGGCATGTGTGTGTGCATACCCAAAATCCTGAGACCGGCATCGAGGAGAAGGGAATATGGTGTGGCCATCCTTCCAGGCGGGTGGGGGGGTGACCTCTCACTTTCTGTCTGTCTCTATCTCTCCAGCAAGCACACACACCCTATAGCAGAAATCTCTCTAAAAAAGAAAAAATAAATAAAAATACAAAGAATGAGATAAAATAATTACTAAAAATTACTTTTACAAAACTCATGTAATAGCAGATCTAGTTTTGTTTACAATGAACAAATTTCTATTTCTAAATTCTAGCCTTTCCTCTATGGTTTTTTTCCCTCTTCCTTAGCACTGGAAAATTGTAAATTGACTGTAGTCAAGACTACTTTAGAAATAGCTGATTTTACTGAAATAGCTAAACAATTTTAGAAATTGCATTTTTGTGTGTGTTTTTATTTTTCTCCCTCTAGTTATGATCTGCAAAAACGAATTGCTGAAATGGAAACTCAAAAGGAAAAAATTCAAGAAGATACCAAAGAAATTAATGAGAAGAGCTGCATACTGTCAAATGAAATGAAAGCTAAGAATAAAGCTGTAAAAGAAATAGAGAAGTAATAATCTTCTGGAAAATGCTAAGAGTATTTAGATTTAGTTCATTTCATTACATGTGTATCAGTATATAAACTTACTGCCACCACATGTAATACTTTTCCAGCCTAAGTAATGTTCTTCTTTTGCAAAAATAATAATAATAATTTTATTGTCCTGCAATCCAATTCTTTGTTAAAGGATAGATGCCAAACTGTGAAGTCTTAAAATAGTGGAGGGATGCTACCCCCTAGTGTTAAGACACAATAGCAACACAACGAAAGTAAAAACTTTTACCTCACAGGTTAATCCACAGATCTCATTCAGAGGTAGAATTTGCATTATTCTAGATAGACTCTTTTCTAATTTATCTTGAACCTACTTTGTACCCAATATTCAGTATCTCTGATTAAGAGAAGACATTGTCTCTTAGTATCTTTTTTTTTTGACCAGAGGACACATGTGCAAGACAAAGTGAGAAAGCAGCCCCCATTGGAGATGTGACCCCTTCTCCATCTCTCTTTCTGGAATTCTGGGTACACACACACACATGCACCTGGCATGTTCTTCAAGCTGCCAGGGCCAAGATTTGAACTGTACAGTCATTCAGATGGGATCCAGCCACCTTAATTTCACACCACTGACTGGCCCTAAAATATGTTGTTTTTATTTCATGAGCTAGGATGAGAGAAACACACAGAGGCCCCATATGGGGTCTTAACCACACTGCAGTCCTCCCCCTTGCTCTTGAAAGCCAGCCAGGATCATGGGACATGCCCATGGGTACACTCAGAATGTTTAAATCAACCCAGGATCCAAGCTCTGTACTTTCCCATCCCGGATGGTTCCTACACGATGCGGCAGGGCCCCACTCATCTGTACCAGCACAGCCAGGACTTTGAAATTTTAGTTCTGGGACAAATTTTTTTACATATTTCATCATAGTCACTAGAAAATGTAACTCATAATCACAGTTTTTAAGTTTCCTCAACTATGAAGCAGTTGGAAATCAGGAGCTTTAGGATCTTACCTTAGAGATTGGGGATCTATATAGATATGATATGGATATAGATGGATGGATGTATAATGTGGGTATAAATGGGTAGATGGATGGATAGATAGATAGGTTGGAGATATATAGAGATATAATATTGCGATAGATAGATAGACAGTCAGATGCAAGGGAGGGGACATGTCCTAGGAAGGATATATAGCATGGCTTTAAAATAACTGAATATTAAAATAATGACTTTTTTTTTTTTTTTTGCTCTGTTAGAAAATTGAATAAAACTATAAAATTTATTGGGGAGAATAAAGAAAAATTTACACAACTAGATTTGGAAGATGTTCAAATTCAGGAAAAATTAAAACACGCTACAGGTAAAGCCAAAAAACTGGAGAAACAACTTCAAAAAGATAAAGAAAAGGTGGGTTTTAGAAAAAAGTTCTCAGGGCCAGCAGGTGGCATGGTGGTTAAGGAAGCTGGACTCCCACATGGCTGACTGTAGTTTGATTCCTGGACTTGGTAGCTTGCTTTTTCATTCCTCCCCCTCCTCATCTCTTCTCTCACGCTGTCCTTCTCTCGTCAAATTAAAATAAACAAAAATAAAGTTAAATAAAAAATAATTCTAGAAGGACCAGCAGTTGGCATAATGGCTATGTCACTGGACTCCCATGTGGTCAACCACGATTCAAATCCCAGACCCGGTAGCTTAAACTCACGCAGGGCGCATGTGCATGCATGCCCAAGATCCCAAGAGAAGGGATTGTGGTGTGGCCATCCCCCGGGGAGTAATTTCTCACTTTCTGTCTATCTGTCTCTGTCTTTCTGGCAAGCGCACATGCCCTATAGCAAAAATCTCTCAAAATAAATAAATAAATAATAATTCTAGAAAGAAAAAGAAGTCCTCAAAATTTCATGTCTAAATAATCAGCCCTAGCTGTCATTTTTCATACGTGTGATGTGTTTACTCCTTGTAGCCTAGGAGAAAAAGTTCAAATTCTGAATGTTAAAATGTTTTAGAATTTACCTCTGAACATGATTTCCCCCTTCCCAAAGGAAACCTTGCATCGATTAACTGAATTTTAGAGCTTATAATGATAAATGTTGTTGGGCCATTTGCCAAAATAGGGGTACCATTTAAATGATGATCTTAATTCATTCTCTTGGAATAGGAGTCTAAAAGGATATTATTTGTTAGGTGTTACAGACTTTATAAAAGACTAGATTGTCATAAAAGTCATGTGTTTTTTTTTCTATGCAAAAAATGTCATGAATTTTCCAACCACCCAGTACTGCCTGCCTATGATGATGTTTGAGTAAACAGAATTCAACCAGGGGTTCCTCCTTAAGGAGGAATGGCAAGCTTATAATTTACAACAACGTGTTGATTAGCTGGCTGTTCTAAAAAAAAGGTGACATTTTGGCAAGTATATGGAAAAGCCTAATTTACTGGGAGCCAGACTAATGATCAATTATTGGGGATTTTCCCAGTTGTGTTCATAACTTTAACAGACAATTGATAGGACACCTACTCCTTATCATCTAAAGAAGCTTTGTTTCATATGAATACATGGTAGTTATAGTTTAGGCTCTGCTTTACCTTACAAGCATTTTTCAAACGTATTTGTTTTGCTAAATACTTTCAAGCACAGCCAACAGATGTTATGTGAATCTGTTTGAGAAATGCCATTTTGAGGGACTAGCAGTTGGCATAATGGCTATGTTGCTGGACTCCTATGTAGTCGACCACACGCTCTATAGCAAAAAAACTCTCCAAAAAAAAAAAAAGAAATGCATTTTGGGAAATGTTGAACTTCTCTGCTACTAGATGATCACAGTAAAGAAAACATGGATTAGGAGTTACCTTCAATTGGACAGACTAAGCCAGGTGTAATTGTTGGAGCTATTGGCTTTTAGGCATATAATGTGGATAAGTGACTATTAGTAGAGGTAGTAATGGAATAAAATTACTAATCTTACATGATGATTCTAGAGGGTAAGGTTTGGAAAGATAATTTGTGGTAAGTTACAATACACCATGAAGGGTAGCTTAGAAAATTCAATGTGGTTGTGCATGGATAAACATGCACAAAGATGGATAATCATGTCCTGAAATTGGGATAGAAGGCAGACGGATCTAAAGCCATGCCAGGGAGAATTTTCTTTCATAAGGAATCAGGAGGTTTATAGAATTGGTTTTATCCCTAAACTGAGAGAACATAGAAATTTCAGTGAATATTTAGGAAAATATTTATTAAAGCCAGCCAGTCCAAATATAAATGTAAAACAGCGAAGACCCTGAGGTTCTTTTAAATAAGTCAAATATTGATGACTTTGAGTAGCCAAAAGTTATATACTTCTGTAACTAATTTGTTTAATCATTTCAGGTTGAAGAATTTAAAAGTATGCCTGCCAAGAGTAAGAATATTATAGCTGAGACAACAACTAGAAGCAATGCTCTTGAAAAGGAAAAAGAGAAAGAAGAAGAAAAATTAAAGGAAGTAATGGATAGCCTTAAACAGGAAACCCAGGGACTGCAGAAAGAAAAAGAAGTAAGTTTCCTTTCATCAATGTTAAGACTTTTAATAATAAAACATTCCTAAAACTAACAAGTCTTTATTTTCTGCTTGCCATTTAAAAAAAAAAAGAAAGTTAACTGAATGAGATTTAGAGTGGTAGCAGAAAATAGAAACTCAAAATACTTAGTCTTTTATCCCACTCTTAATCCTATTGAGTCATTATTACATTTCGTTTTTCATTTTATGCTAAGTTATTTTCTTAGTATTTCATGTATTGCCACCTGTCAAGCCTGGGGCCATAGTACACACCGTTAATGTCTCCCTTTTTGTAGTAGTTAGAGGCTGTGGCTCTGGTGTGAGTGCTTATTTCAAATCCTGAGTCAGTCACTATCTTTGTTCTTGTGCAGATCGTACATCTCTCCAAGCCTTCTTCCTCAAAGTGAGGGAGGAAATCTCTACCTGCTTTTGTGAAAATAAAAAGCAAGTGTATAAAATGGCTAGAAAGTAAGACATTAATAAGTGTTTGCTTTTACACTATTTTATCACTTAGTTAATAAAACGAGAGCATGACTTTGTCACATTGGTGTTTGTTACCTGTGCAACAAGAGTAAGCATGGAGTTAGCTGTCTTTATATTCACCACAGCCTTTAAAACAATGCTGAGCATGTTAAATACATGTGTTAATAGAGAATAGTAATTAAATTGACTGCATACAAGGTCCCACCCTTAATAGATTCTGTTTAAAGACATGAACTTTTTTTTAACATATATAGTTGTAGGGGTCAGGTGTTTTTTACAGTGCTAGAATAAAATTTGTAATGATTCAGTCATAATAATTAGCATACCTGTCATTTCAACCATTTGTCATTCATAGTATTGAGAGCATTAAAAATCTGGGACCAGCAGTTAGCATAATGGCTATGTCAATGAACTCCCATGTAGTCAACTGTGGTTCAAGTCCTGGACCCGGTGGCTTAAACTCACGCCGGGTGTGTGTGCATGCGTGCCCAAGATCCCAAGAGGAGAATGGAGGAGAAAGGATTGCGGCGTGGCCATCTCCCCTGAAGGGTGATTTCTCGCTTTCTGTCTCTCTGTCTCTGTCTTTCTGGCGAGCACATGTGCCCTATAGCCAAAAATATCTCAAAAAAAACCACTTCCCTCTTCATGTCTTTGAGATACATAACGAGTCCTTGCCCTCTGTTAATATATTCTCCCTACCATATCTTGTAAAACTAAACATGCTTCCTGTGTATCTGCAGTTTTGGAATATGGACATGTCCTAATGTCACAACTTTATCAGCAGGATACCTTTGTGGCAATAAAGGGGCAATGAATAATGCAGAAACTTTCATGATGGACTACTTAATTTATAGTGGACTTGATGTTTGCTCATTTGATGTTAATAAAACTGCTAGATACCTTCTACCCTTTGTGTTAAAGACAAAACCAGGACTCAAATTTAATTGTCTTCATTCCTCAGCATAATATGAAGATGGTCAGCATAAATATATTTGAGGAAACTTCCTCCTGAATAGTTCTTAGACCTAGTAATGTGGTGATAGACTTTAGACCCAAGTTTGTTTGCATTCCTTTCTAGTTTTCATCTCTAAAATGAACATGCTAAGATCTACCTGATGAAGCTCTTGTGAAATTGTTGGGAAAGAACTTTATATAATGAACACTGACAACTAGACAAAACTATTAGTCTAACATAAGAATTATGTATTTGGCGTGGTGGTTAAAGGCGTTGTACTCCCACATGGTTAACTATGGTTCAAGTCCTGGACCTGGAGGCTTGCTTTCTCACTTCCCCTCTCTCTGGAAATATTAAAATAATAATAAAGTTAAATAAAGTAATTCATTTTAAAAAAAGAATTTTGTATGTCTATATACTATGATTGTAGAATCTTAAATTGAATTCAAAATGTATGGCTTCTACTTCAGTTTAGTTGTGAAAATACTTAACATTTTAGAATGAATGGAATCTTATATTTTAACAGAGTCGAGAGAAAGAACTTATGGTGTTCAGCAAATCAGTAAACGAAGCACGTTCAAAGATGGATGTAGCCCAATCAGAACTGGATATTTATCTCAGTTGTCATAATACTGCAGTGTCTCAGTTAAGTAAGGCCAAGGAAGCTCTAATTGCAGCTTCTGAGACTCTCAAAGAAAGGAAAGCTGCAATTGAAGATATAGAGGCAAAACTTCCTCAAGCGGAAAAGGAATTAAAAGAGGTAAATCTTGACTTTTGCTTTTCCTCTGAACATTGTCAACCCTAGTTTAGTTTGGTTTGGTTTGTTTGTTTATTTTTATTTACTTACTTACATATATATATATATATATTGTTGTCTTTAGAGAGATTTTTACTATAGGGCTTGTGCACTCACCAGAGAAACAGAGACAGAAAGCAAGACTCAACCTCCCCAGGGGCAATGGCCACACTGCAATCCCTTCAACTCTCCACTCCTTTCAGGATTTTATGAACGAACATGCACAATCTACCAGGTCAGGACTTGACCTGCGGTTGACTGCGTGAGAGTCCAATGACTCTCACACTATTATGCCATCTTCTGATTCCTATTGTTTTTAATCACATTATCTAGCTACTGTTGTGTAAAGTGTATATTTTTTTCATTTATATAGTTCCCAAAAGAATAAAGTCAGCATTTCAGCATATTTTTTCTGCATTTGAATTTATAGGTATAATCTCTTCATGTTAGGACTCCAAAATGTCATAAACTAATCAAGATAGTCTGGCCTAGCTCATCATTGCTGCCCATTCCCATCCTAGAGTGAATTACATGTCTGAAAATTTTTATAAACGTTAATCTCCAAAGCCACATTTGGCAGGATGGCAATAGAAGACACTGTTTGACAAGAACTGAACTAATCATACTTAAGTCTGTTTCATTGTAGCAAATACACATTGATTATCAGGGAATTTTATGACTGTGGGTAACCGTGGTAATCCAGCACCTTAACCACCACGCCACCTGCTGCCCCCACCTTTTTAAATTACTTTTTAATGCTAGAGAGTACATTCACACAAGAAAAACAGACAAGGGAAAAAAAAATCCCAGTGGGGCCTAGTCATGCCCCAATGCTTTTTGTTCTCTATTTCTCTATTCTTCTGTGTCCTAGGCATGTACATGCATCCAGGTATTTTTCAAGCTGCTGACCTGAACCCTGCTCCTCAGCCATATGGGGTCCAGCTTCCTCTGTGCAGCTCTTAACAACTGTGCTACACGGCCAGAGCCCTAGGTCTACTTTTAACTGGGCCAGAGTTTTAAGATACATAGAGACTGACTAAACTAAATGCGCAGTTGCAGTGTGGGAGCTTGGTTCTGGTTCAAGAGCTTATTTTAAGATTTTACAAAGTTCTTTATTACTGCGCCTAATTCTGTGCTGTGATTGGGCATATATAGGACCTAATGCTTTTGGACTTCATTTTTTTACTTTTCACTTTTAGAAAGAAAAGGAACTTCAGAAACTTACACAAGAAGAAATAAACATCAAAAGTTTGGTTCATGATCTTTTCCAAAAAGTTGAAGATGCAAAGAGTTCCTTAGCAATGAATCGAAGTAGGGGGAAAGTCCTTGATGCAATAATTCAAGAAAAAAAGTCTGGCAGGATCCCAGGAATATATGGGAGATTGGTAAGGTTTATCTATTTGGAAATGGCTTTACATTTTTCTCAACATATTGGGATTATTTTATTAACTTTGTCTTAAATAGTTGTATATTGAATATCACTATATGTTAAAGAATATTCATTTTTGTTCTAGGGGACATTAATTTTTAAACATTTTGCTTTTTAGGTTTTTGGGGTTTTTTTACATTTTGTAGTCTTGTTTTTGTTTGTTTGTTTGTTTGTTTTTTTAAGGTCTTTGCCATAGAGCACATATACTTCCAGGGAGAGACAGGGAAAAGAGAAATCACCCCATAGGGGGATGGCAATGCCATGATCACTTCTCCATTTTCCTCTCAGGATTTTGGGCATGCATGCACACACACCAGCATGATTTTCAAGACTCCAGATCCAGGACTCAAACTATAGTTGCCTATTTGGGAATCCAGAGCCTTAACTACCATGGCATCTGCTGGCCTCCACGTTATTTTATATATACCAAGAAAAAAAATAGCTCTAGTAATAATAAGCAAACTTATAAAATTATTTTAACCTTTTCATAAAATAAGAATTGGGTATCTTCTGGGTTTTATATCATTATAGAGTTATCACTTGATATCTGAGGGAGATTGATTCCAGGACCCCTTACAGATACCAAAATCTGAGGATACTCAAGTCCCTTAAGAAATGGCACAGTGTTTGCATATAGCCTACATGTGTCCTCTCACACCTGAAGCCATCTCCATGTTATTTATAAGTAATCATTGCATCAATTATAAAGGACAATACTCAGATAAACGTTTTCAGTATCTCCTTTTCTAGGGGCCACCTGTTCCTCCATTTTATACCAATTGGCATGGCCTGAGAGCATCCACATTTGTTTAAATCCATTGATATAGAATCTGCAGATACAGAGGATGACCATATTTTATAATTTTGGCTAGGGCTTAGGGAAATCAATAGGCATAATAATCTAGAAGCCCAAGGCTAGCAATAATGAGAAACATTATCATTCCTAGACCTCAAGAGGGGGGCAAGTTTGGGTTGGGAAGGAGGAGGGAAATAAGTACTTCAACTCCACTTAGCTCTTACTCCAGTCTCCAGGTGATACCTCACACTAACTAAAGCTGAAGACACTAAGAGCTGAAGGATGCAGTCCCTAAGGTGGCTTCTAGAGGAGGGAACAGAGAGATAAGGAAGGGCAACTGAAAATTACTTAGCAAATATGTCTCATGTAAAGTGTCCCTATTTTCCTGAGGATACATAATTTGATCTTATTCATTTGCTTCCAAGGAAAACTTACTCCAGTTTGTGAATGCTTCTCGACAGCTAATTAGGAGCTTAATGTAATCTTGGATGGTTTTCAGTAATTCTGAGTTGTAGTTTATGCATTGTTTTGTTTATAGTTCTTTTAGGTGTCATAACTTCACATTACATGTTTTCATGAAATGAAAACAGTTACTTCATTTTGTACTCATTTAAAATTCAACTGCATGTCCATAAACTTTTTAAAGGTAGATTAAAATGTACTTTTAATGTTTTTGCTAAAGGGGAAGGTTGGGGTGAGAAGGACACTTAGTTTTGTTTTTAAAGCACTCCTTGTGCTTTTTTATTTTGTAAAGTTTTTAAAAGAATTATTTTATTTAACTTTATTATTATTATTTTAATTTGACTGGAGAGAGTGAGTGAGAAAGCAAGCTACCAGGTTGGGGACTCAATATAGCTGGCCATGTGGGAGTTAAGTGCTTTTAACCACACCACCTACGAGCCTTCTTTGTGCTTTTTAAAACTATGTTTACATAGTTCTTAATTTTAAAGTAACTTTAAAAGTCTATGTGAATAGTTAGGAAATAGATGGTCTGGTCCTTTTTGCCTAATTTCTTCCTGACTATAATATCAGTATTTTTCTTTCTCTGTTTAATTATTAGGGGGACTTAGGCGCCATTGATGAGAAATACGATGTGGCTATTTCATCCTGTTGTCATGCATTAGACTACATAGTTGTCGATTCTATTGATACAGCCCAACAATGTGTGAACTTCCTTAAAAGAAAAAATATTGGAGTTGCAACCTTTATAGGTTTAGATAAGGTGGGTATTCACGATAAGCTGCCTTTAATTTTTAAGTGCCAACTGTTTTTATTCCTTTTGAATTCTAGTACTTTATCTTCACAGTGATTCGGTGAGCATCTGATGTTTTAAGAATTATTTTAGCTTGTGGAGTTACATAGATTTTTCCTTTGGTTGCTCATGTTTGCAATGTCGTGTATAAGAAACCACTCTCTAAATCCAGGTCACAGTGATTTTTCCTCTTCTGCTTTCTTCTAAGAGTTATATATATAGTTTTAGTTTTTACATTTAGGTGTTGAATTCAAATTAATTTTTATATACAGTGAAAGTAGGGCTCCAGTGTTACTGTTTTCCACGCAGATGTCTAGTTGGTCTAGCACCATTTGTTGAGAAGACCATTCTTTCCCAACAACATTTTCTTTGTACTCTCAGAGGAAGCCAGCCAATCATGAATGTGTTTATTTCTAGACATCTGGTTTGATTCCTTATGCTAGTACTGTCTTGATTACTAAAGATAAGAAGTAAAATTTTAAAAGGAAGTGTGAGTCTTCTAGTTCTGTTGTTTCTATTGCCAGGGAGTAAATTTGATCACCAGGGAGGAGAGAGAAAGTACCCCTCAGTGGGGAGAACCACAATCACCTTCCCCCATCTCTACATCCCACTGGGTCTATAGGCATACACACTTGTATGCCCAGCATTCCCACAAGTTAATGGGACCAGGATTTGAACTATAGTCAGCCTTGTTGAATCTGGTTCCCCATAAATAGTACTCAACCACTGTGCTATGGGACTTGTCCCAATTGTGTTCTTTTTCAAAATTGTTTTAAGTATTCTGAGTCCCTCAAATATCCATATGAATTTTAAGATCTGCTGGTCAGTTTCTGCCTCAGAAAAGGTAATCGGGATTTTGATAGAGGTTCCTTTGATCAGTTTGGGTGGTATTGCCATCTTATCAATATATTAAATCTTTCATTCCACAAACATGGATTTCTCCCATTTATTTACCTTTAATTTTGTAGCTTTTGTTATATGAGTCTTATGTTTCTTACTAAGTTTATTCCTAGGGCTAGTTCTTTTTTTGTCTTTTTGCTATAGGTCACATGCACTCACCAGAAAGATACAGAGAGACAGAAAGCAAGAAGTCACCCCCGCAGGGGGGATGGCCTCGCCACAATCCCTTCTCTTCCATTCTCCTCTCATGATCTTGGGCACAAACACACATGCACCTGGTGTGAGTTTAAGCTGCCGGGTCTGGGACTCAAACCACAGTCAACTACATGAGAGTCCAGCGACATAGCCATCACGCCAACTGCTGGTCCTTCCTAGGTCTAGTTCTACAACACAGTGGTTTAAAGGAGCTGGATCCTACATGGCCAGCTACTGTCCAAATCCCATCACCAGCATCTTGAAAAATATGCTAGGCACATATGTATGCATGCCTAAAGTCCTGGCAAGAGAAAGTAGGAAAAAATAGATAGCAGCATGTTCATACTCAATCGTGGGGTATTTCCTTCCCCACTGTCTGGTGAGCATGTATGTCCTCTGGAAATTAAAAAAAAAAAATTTCTATATATTAGGGGATTTTGTGATGATGTAAATGGAAATTATTTTAAGAATTATTCTATTTAACTTCATTTATTTATTTATTTACTTACTTACTTATTTTTATTTTTATTTGACCAGAAAGGGACAGAATGAGAGAGAGATAGGAAAAATGAGAAAGCCAGCTGCCAGTTCTGGGACTTGAACTGCAGTCGGCCATGTGGGAGTACAGCACCCTTACCTATCACACCACCTGCCGGCCCCTGTAAATGAGATTTTAAATTTTACTTTGAGTTTTGAGTTTATTTATTGTTATTGTATAGACGTATAGTTAATACATAAAATTAATTTTTGTATATTGATCTTATATCCTGCGACTTTGCTGGATTCATTTGTTACTTATATTCATTTTTTCATGTGGGTTCTGTAGGATTTTACATGTGTAAGATCGTGATACCTAGAAGAAACATTACTCTCTTTGTTATATATTTTTACTTTTAGATGGCAGAGTGGGCAAAGAAAATGACCAAAATTCAAACTCCTGAAAATACTCCTCGGTTATTTGACTTAGTAAAAGTAAAAGATGAAGAAATTCGTCAAGCTTTTTACTTTGCTTTACAAAATACCTTAGTAGCTGACAACTTAGATCAAGCCACTAGAGTGGCATATCAAAAAGATAGAAGATGGAGAGTGGTAACTTTACAGGGGCAAATTATAGAACAATCAGGTAATACTGGTTTGTTTTAGTTTGTTTTCCTAACGTTGAATTAGTTAAATGCCATTGAAGGAGATAAGGCTGACTTCCCTTCGTTCTTCAGGTACAATGACTGGTGGTGGAAGCAAAGTTATGAAAGGAAGAATGGGTTCATCCGTTATTGTTGAAATCTCTGAGGAAGAGGTTAGTATATGTAAACATGTAGTAGTATTTTAAGCAGTTTTACTGTGGTACATGATACACACTACAAGGCCAGGCCCATGACGGTTAAGGAAACTGTCTCACATGTCCAGCTTTATTGTTGAGTCCCAGCCCCAGCACCTTGAAGAACACTCAAGGCATAGTTGTGTGCTTAAAATCTCAGCAGGGTGGAGGAACAGAGAAGAGAGGACACAGTATGGCCATGCCCCATCGGCAGCTTTTTCCTCTCCCTGCGGGTCTCTTTGGTGAGCACATGCACCCTCCGGCAAATTCAAAAAGGAAAGGACATACTGTAAAATGGAGCCAGTTTTTAAGCATACTGTAGTCAGGTTGGAGATGAACAGATTGAATGTTCTAGAAATGAATATATAAATGGTGGGGTGGAGGTTATGTAAGACCTTGAAAAGTTCTAAGAACAAAACATTGTTAATTAGAAAATATGTATTCAACATACACAACTTTCTAAAGTACTATATTTAGATCATATGAATATATTATAAATTACTTAAAACCATTCCCTTGTTTGACATTTAATTTTTCTTTTTACATAATTATTGCTGCGTGTGTAATTTCTTTCTATTTCAAAATAACTTTAAGATGTAAGTATAGGGACTAGCAGTTGGCGTAATGGCTATGTTGCTGGACTCCCATGTAGTCAACCGTGGTTCAAGTCCCGGACCCGGTAACTTAAACTCACGCCAGGTGCGTGTGCATGCGTGCCCAAGATCCCGAGGGGAGAATGGAGGAGAAGGGATTGTGGCATGGCCATTCTCCCTGGGGGGTGATTTCTCTCTTTCTGTCTCTATGTCTCTCTGGCAAGCACATAAGCCCTATAGCAAAAACCTCTCAAAAAAAAAAAAGATGTAAGTATAACAAAGGGTTCTGATGACTGTGCCTACATTTTATTTCAGAATATTTTTTTTCCCGTATTTTATATTCAGAGCAGGACTACTTGAAGACATCTAAATGCCTAGGGAATACTGCTGGGTTCATTATTGCCCAGAATACTATTAACACTTTCCTCTTCCTTAAAAATATACCTGCTCTTGGGAACCAGCAGTTAGCCTAATGGCTATGTCACCGGATTTCCACATAGTCAACCGCAGTTCGCGTCCCGGACCCGGTGGCTTAAAACTCACGCCGGGCATGTGTGCGTGCGTGCCCAAGATCCCGAGAGGAGAATGGAGGAGAAGGGATTGCAGCATGACCATCCCCCCTGGGGATGTCTGGCAGAGCACACGCACCCTATAGCGAAAATCTCTCCCTGTGCTTAGAAATCCTGGAAAGGTAACTTTTTCCAAAGTTTATCTCAATATTTTTTCCCCATATTTTGAAATAGTTTCTTTCCACTCAAATATTTGAATGCTGTAGCTTCATTGAAATAATAATAGGCCGTTGTACAACACTTAATGTCTATCTGATTATATGATGCCAAAGTTGGTCATCTAAGCTTTAGGATCAGGGATTGAAACTGGGTTGTTGGGTTTTGTTCTAGTCTTTAATAGTAGAAGTTTGGGTTTTCTTCATCCATAGGTTGACTTTGCTTTCTGAAAGGACTCTTGAGGAAAACTCAACTTCACTGGTACTTTTCTTTGTAGGTAAATAAAATGGAATCGCAGTTACAAAGAGAATCTAAAAAAGCGGTGCATATCCAAGAACAGAAAGTACAACTGGAAGAAGCAGTAATTAAGTTACGGCACAGTGAGCGAGAAATGAGAAATACACTAGAAAAGTTTACAGCAAGCATCCAGGTATTTGTGTGTGGTGTCGATATTAACTAAAACTATTGGAATTCAAGAGCAGAACCATTTTGCTATTTGCTTACAACTTTAAAATATAAGGCTAGAGAAGGATGGGTCTCTAGGTGGAAGGTCTGTCACTTGTTAAGTTTGTTTTCCTAAGTAGTGATGGAAAATGTCCTGTAACAGTGTTGCTCCAGCCAGTTACTCCTGTATTCTGTCTGTATTCTAAAGAAATATAACTTCCGTTATCCAATTTATTTCCCTTCTCTTTCAAAGTGGAATGTTTTCTTGATTATGAAAAAGTAGCACATGTCTACTGTTTAAAAAATTAGTTTTCAGAAAATATCTAAGTGATGATTACTTTCATTTGATATATTGGGCTGCTGGCAAAGTCATGATGCATTTTTGTTTATAGAACTAGGAAAATACATTATGACTTTCCCAACAACCTAATACTTTAACTTTTTTATATACCTAGTTTGCATGTAATGTATTTATACGTGGTAAGTGTGTGTGTTTAGAGCATGCATATGGCTTTTTAATTTCTTCACTTGATAACACACTTTTTTTTCTACACCAGTTTAGTTTTATTTTGTTTTCAATTGCTTTAGAGCATTTTTGTACCACAATTGGATAAATGTTTTTTGTATTATTGTGTGCACCTGCTATGTTCAAAATGCCCTTTTTGTATACGGTTACATACTCATTCAGTTATTTCCTTAGGATAGATTCTTTAAATTAAAAGTATTATGCAGGATGTGTACAATGTTTAAGGAATATGTTGCATAGTGTCCGTTTGTCTTTAAAAGATGGTACTGATCCATGCATTGCTAGCAGCATATGAAAATAATTATTTTCCTAATTCTTTGAACAGTGAGCAGTCTAAAATATAGGTGTGCTATCTTATGAATTTTAAAAAGGCATTTTGACTTTCCATAATGAGCTTATAGGTTATTTCCTATTGGTCATTTTTTAAAATATATTTGTTGCTTGTGTTTCTGTTCTTTTCCTGTCAGCATTTATCTTTTTCTTAAAAGATTGTAAATGTTCTTTTTAAGAATCAAAATGTGTAAGTAGATGTTATGGTTACCAAGTTGAAATATTGACCATAAATGTTAAAACATGCCCATAGCGTTTATCAGAACAAGAAGAGTATCTGAATATCCAAGTTAAGGAACTTGAAGCTAATGTACTTGCTACTGCTCCTGACCAGAAAAAGCAGAAGTCGCTAGAAGAAAATGTTAGTGCTTTCAAGAAAGGTATGTTTAAAGATACAGACTTAATAACATTTTCAAAAACGGGATTTTAAAATATGTAAAATTTAAAATAGTTTGTAGCGTAATAATAGCTAAATATATTATGTACATGTAATCACAGTCCCTTACAGCTTTTATTATTCTCATAAGCCTATAAAGCAGTACTATTAATAGCCTCATTCGACAAATAAGGGAGGTGATACAGAGTGATTCTTAAATAATTTGCCTAGGCTCACACAGTATGTATAGTCTATGAATAAATGATACAGGCTGATTCCAGAGCCCTTGCCTTTAATTTTATACTTGGCCCTAATCTTCACACAGACACTTCAAGATAGTAGTTACTGTATATTCGGAAAACTGAACATTTGGCGAAAACAGCTGAAACAAGAGCACACCGTAAGGAAATAGTGTGCACATAAAGAGAAACCAAGTATCTGAAAGCTAGTATAAAAACATTTTTTCTTCCAGAACCACTGCTTCTTGTGTGCCTATACATATGTAAATATTTTACCAAAATAAAATTGTTAAAAAAGAGACTTGATGGGCAGAACTTTCTTTTTAGCCTTAATTGAAGTCTTCTGATTATGAATTTTAACAGGCCGGCTTTCTTTGTTGGCTTTGCTCAAACATATATGTGTACCTTGCAGCAGCAGCAGAAGAGAACGCTGGGCAATGGCACAGATTCTCTCCAGGCTGGCATCACCTTAGCTGGTAATCCCAGCAAACACAGTGGTCCTTCATTATATTCTTAAGAATGACCTCTTTTATGGTTTGGTTCATGAGCCAAGGAAAACAAATACTGATTGTTCATCCCAAAGAACTAATTAGAGTGGAACTGGAGCAATTATCCTACTGCTCTCCCAAATGAGGGAGTTTTCTTCCAAAGGAGAAAGAACAGTAAGAATATGTTAGACAGTTGTCCTCTATGCACATCAAATATTCATTTATACCTATATTGATTTTGTGTGCAGTCATGTTTATTTGCATTTTTTATATTTAAAAGTTGTTCAAATGACATCTGCTACTAGCCACACTTTGTTTTAGGTGCCATTAATAGAGCTGTGAACAAAACAAAGTCCTTGTCATCAAGAAGCTCACAGTTAAAATAATGCAGATATTTGAGCAGAGACCCAAAGGAAGTGTGGGTGCTTAACTCTGAGTATTGTGGGGAAAGGCGATCCAAGAGAGTATAGAGGAATAAGCAAGGACCCTGAGGCAGGAGTATGCTAGGAGCACTCAGAGAGCTCAAGGCAGCCAGTGTGGCTGAGGAACAGCGGAATCTAGCTCCTGGGGGATGTTATTATGGGCCAACTGTGATAGTTGTAGTGAAATAGCCATTCGAGAGTGTATAAGAAAGTGGCCTGAACTGACAGCATTTGCTTTTCCCTTGTATTTATTTTGTTTTTGCAGACACATTGACTTTGTTCAGACTCTTCTTTCTCCACACATACCAACAATATTTGTTGTGGTTTCTTTGATGGTATCTGAGGGCTAACTGAAAGGCCAAAAATGTCTGTGCCATTATAAGCAATACTTCCATGGAGAAACTGCAGTAATCTGTATTTTGTTCTTATTTAAAAAGGAATCCTTGACTTTATTAAGACTAATGTTCTTGAAAATATTTGTGGAAAAATTAAAGTGTGAGTTTATTTTGATGTAAAAAAAAGTTTTGAAATCTATGCACAGTTTCTTCATAATACACCTTTCTCCTGAACTTTTTAAGCTTAATAATAGAAATGTTGAGTATTACCAGTTTATTCTGTTAATGTCTGATGTGGAGGACCCATTTCTTTAAGCGTATCTTTACGAGTAAATATTTCAGGCCCAGCCTTGGTGACAGAGTGCCACTGCTTGGGATGCCAAAGGTTGCCTGGGAAGCCCAAGTTGATTTGAAATCGCAGGGCATTGAGTGCTTGTAATCCTGTGGGGAGACTGAGGCAAAGAGATCCTGACACAGGCAAGATTCTGTCAAAGGAATCCTCTCTCTTTTCTTCTCTCCCATAAAGGTGAGGGTGAGGGAAGCACTAAATACATTATCTTACATCAACATGCAATTTTTTTTTTTAAGTATCTGGCTAATGTCCAGAGAGTAGAGTAAGTGGGGATAAGGTGAAAGCGGGAAAATTGGGGTGCTGTTGCAGTAATTCTGGCACAAGATAATGGTTACTAGGTATATAATTAACTCTTGAACACATTAATAAGAGAGACAGGCACTGTCAAGAGAGTCTCACGGCATGATCTCTCCTGCTACCCTCATCCTACCTTTCAGAATTACCAGGATTTCAGGTCTACCTGGAAAGCAAATCCTGATCTTCCACATGGCCTGAAGCATTGCAGAGAGTTGTGCTACCACTGTGCCACTGTGGCTGGGGCCAGGCATCTTACGTTTTCTTGAGAGAGAGATTTTTGCTATAGGGCACATGCACTCACCAGAGAGATGAAAAGCAAGAAATCACCCCTGGGAGGATAGCCATGCAGCAATCCCTTCTCCTCCACTGTCCTCTCAGGATTTTGGGGGTACATGCCCAGTTTGAGGCCACGGGGTCTGGGACTCAAACCATAGTCAACTACAAGAGCGTCTAGCAACATAACCATTGTGCCATCTGCTGGTCCCATTACTTTTAAGATAATGTCAAATCAGCATAATGGCTTCAAACCTATGCCACAGTTTTTTTCCTTCCTAGTTATAATAGATATGTTCTCATAGATATAAAAAGAAATGCATGGTGGATCTTTGAAAACAAGGAGCATTTTACCTCTTTGGGAAGAGATTCAGAAATAGAAGCCTTCTTCATTATAGATACCTGACCCATCATCCAGTCACTGTCAAGTGGTGGTGTTGGTCCCCATAGCAGCAGGTGTCCCACCCCACCAGTGAGCCAAGCACATAGGGAGCCCGAGAGAATTCCACTTGTAAAGAATGTCTTCACTATGAGTAAAATAATTCCCTTAATACATGCAATAACTTAGACCTACAGTAAGCAATTACTAGTCACAGCAGTGTAACAGACCTAATTTTAAAATGTGTATATGTCATATCTTTAGGAAAATATGGTGTCCATAGATCCAAAACTTTTTTTCTTTGGAGAGCCAAATCTCAGAATGTAAGAAATAGAGATTCTGGAATTCTACTTGATAGGCTAAAAGATCCATGCTCTAAGAGGTTTAATAGATGTTGAGATTCCACTGTAACCTAGCAGCAGACAAGAAATGAAGGAGAGGATGCAATAAGTCTGTTTAATCCTTTTCTTCCATCAAATCCTGCTTCTCTATTCTCTTCCTATGCTAAAACCCTATTGCTTCTCAGGACACAGATTTTTTGATCGCTTGAATTCCCACCTTTTTTTTTTTTTTTTTGCTGCCTGTTTTTTTGTTCGGGTGGTTGGGGTTTTTTGTTTTGTTTTGTTTTTTGTAGTGATAGCACGAAGAGAAAGAAGCACCCTTGGCAGGATCACATCGCTCTGTGACCCTTCTTCCTCCGTGCTCCACCTCTGCCAGATCCCATTGCCTATGTATGTTTCTTGTGTCTTCGGTCAGCCTAGGGATCTGAAGTCAGATGCCTCATGGCCTCCAGCCTTGCAGAGCACTTGGCACAAGTGCCACAGCTGCTAGGCCTTGGCACCTTTTTATCCTTCCTACATTCTATAGTGATTGGAATTCAGATCTGGAAAACAGCATCCACTCTGGCTGGTGCAGGATTTGTGTAGTGCATACGTGTGTTTGTATATATACAACAGGGTATCGGGTTGCTTATAGAATCATTGGAATGGCTGAAGAAGGTTTCTAGATTAAACATACAAAAGTATTATGAAGAGCTTCTCTGTAGAACCATCAAATGAGCTACTGCTGCTTCTGCAGTTTTGAAAAACGCTCTCTCAAATCAGGAAGATGCCACTGCAGATACCACTCATAAAAGCACAACTTTTACTGTAATCCATACCATCAAAGTTAATGTCACTGCTTGTCAGTACTCACAAAGCTGTTGACTAGATACCAGAACCTCTAACTCCATCACAGAAAATCCAGACTTCTCTGACTGACTGATTGGCAGCAGAATGAATATGTCTGGTTCATTGATTAATGCCTTCCAAATTATACAAAGACTTTTGAGTAAAGGGACCTAAATTCTGTCTAAACCCTAGTTACATGGGAATCTGAGCAGTGTCAACTTTTACTCTTCATTGACAAGAGAGAAGAGCACCAATTCATCTTACATCCTCCAAGTTGTTACTTGATGTGGAGAATTGCCAAGATGGATAAGCAAAAGAAAGTAACCACAGTTTAAAACTGTAGACAAGTTAATAGCATCAGGCAAATAGTCTAAGGCTTGGTCATTAAGAAACCAGTGGTCAAGAAAGTACCCTGAGAAAAAGTTGAAAAGATCTTTGAAAAGACTGTGAGAACATGAAAAGCAATCGTAATTTAACTGAAGCAAAGTTACAGATAGGTAAGAGAAACAGTGTCTAGTGTTACAAAATACAGTGGGGTGAATATAGTTGCCAGCAATTTACTGGGTATCTTAGAGTACCTAAAAAGAGTATTGAATGTTCCCAACATGAAATAATGACAAATGGTTAAGTATACTAATTACCCCAATTTAATCATCATGCGTATATTCATATACCAAAAAGACCACATTGTATCCCCATAGATATGTATGTTTATTTTGTGTTAATTAAAAATTAGTTTTAAAATGAAGAAAATAGGGGCCAGAGACACCTGTGGTCTCACTCAGCTGCTGGGGAACCCAAAGCAAGCTGATCAGAAGTTCAAGTCTAGTACGGGGAACATACCAAGACCCTGTCCTGTGGAGGAAGGAGAACAAGAGGAGTGTTCACAGCTGAGACAGAGAGGTTAACTGAACAAATTTATATCTAACAAGTGATGTTTAGTAACATAGAAACACAAGTTAATTTTTTTTTTTATTTTTAAATTTCAGAATATGATGGCGTGGCTGAAAAAGCTGGTAAAGTAGAAGCTGAAGTTAAACGTTTACACGATCTCATCGTGGAAATCAATAATCATAAACTCAAGGCCCAGCAAGACAAACTTGATAAAATAAATAAGCAATTAGATGAATGTGCTTCCGCTATTACTAAAGCCCAAGTAGCAATCAAGACTGCTGACAGGTAGTGTATGCATGCCACCCTGACCTGTCTTGCCCATTTTTACCTCCACATTGGAAATGTGTTTATGTTTAAATATAAACATTCCATCAAATAGTTCTGCATTACTGATTAAATCTGATGTGTTATTACCTAATAAGAACTTTACTAAAGGGAACCTAGAAGGGACACTTACCATATGTTTTTTGTTTTTTTAAAAAGAAAAGAGAAAAAATATATATCAATTGTGAGGGCATAGAAATCAGTTTTATTTCTCTGGTTTAAGAAAATAGTGATTAATTTAAACAGCTCTAGACTTTAAGAGAATGAGTAAAATAGATGAGAATGAACTCTTTAGAAAATTGTGAGTTAAATTTTCAATTAACAAAAAGATTACATTGTCCCAACTCAGAAAAATGAGTTTAGCTATTAGATCTTATTTTAAAACTTACTAGAGTATTAAAGTGTTTCTAAAATAATTATCCCTAGTGGACCAGCCCATGGCCTACTAGTTATGTAAGCTGGATCCCACTTGGACAACCACGTGGTTTGAGTCCCAGGCTGGCATCCTGAGACATATGCCAGCATGCGTGTCTCTCTCGAAAATCCTGACAGGAAGAAATGAAGAAGGGAATGCAGCATGACCATACCCCATGGGGGATACTTCCTCATTTTCCCTCCCTCTTGATTATCTGGCCACATTATTCTTTTTCTCAACTTACAAGGAATGAACCACTTGTGTATGTTAGGGGAAGAAGTATGCTTAAATGGGTCTATTGGGACCAGTAGATGGTGTAATGATTTCAACACTGGACTCCAATAGAGTAGACCGCGGTTCGAGCCCTTGACCTGGTGGCTTAAAACATACTGGGCTTGTGTGCACGCATGCCCAAAATCCTGAGAGGAGAGTGGAGAAGGGACTGCAGCGTGGCCATCCTCCGACGGGTGATTTCTTGCTTTCTGTCTCTGGCAAAAACACATGCCCTATAGCAAAAACCTCTTTTTTTTTTTTAATTAAAAAAAAAAAGCCTGTCAGTCAGAGTAGAAATAACTTTGTTAAGTGGAAATAGTGCTCTTTTTAGGAGTGATATACTTGTCCAGTCTTGAAGTGCAAGATATTTATTTAGAGACATAGCTTCATGAATAGAGAGATCAGACAAGAAAATGACAAAAGAAATTAATCTAATAGACACCTCTGTCTGGGAATCTAAGCTTAGGTGATACTAAAAGCTTATATAAGGCAGTTTTGTTTATTACAAGTCATCCCACAAGTGTCATAAATGTCTAAAAATTAATCTAAAGATGGTTTAGTAAATCATAAATGTAAAAACTTACAGTAGGAAGAAAGTTCACCTAAGGTGTTATGAAAAGTTCTTGGTAGATTTTCAGAGTAACAAATCGTGTTACATTTTTAATGTGTCATTTTTCTTACTTAGAAATCTTAAAAAGGCACAAGAATCCGTTTTACGCACAGAGAAAGAAATAAGAGATACTGAGAAGGAAGTAAATGACTTAACAGCAGAGCTAAAAAGTCTTGAGGACAAAGCAGCAGATGTCGTAAATATTACAAATGCTGCAGAGGTGAGGCTTGTTTTACTGGAGAGGAGGGGAGGGATGGTATTTCAAGCAACTTACAGAATTTGATACACAGCTACTCCTTGTTCAACAGTCTACCTACCTGTTTAACGACTGCTCAGACTCAATTTCTCCACACAGAAAATCCCTTAAGTCTGGGAGTCTCTGGAATCCCTTTTCTCAGTTTTTGTCTCATCCCCACAAGTTGCTTAACATTCACTACACAGAGTGTTCACAGTCCTGTAAGACTACATGGTTCTTTTATAAATTTGTACCTTATTGTGCTCACATAGGTAGTATTCAGAGTAAATAAGAGTTACACTTGATTTATATCATTGTGTTGTGGTTTAGCTTGTCACTTTCTGGTGCTTTATCTAAATGCATGTTTTTTGTATGGATAGAATTACATTATTCTAGTGTGTTACATGATAGCTATTGAAAAATATAATACATACCCTATGGTGCCATGACACAGCATAAGACATCAGCCTTTAACCTCCTCGCTTATTAACCAGTTTGTTTAATGGCCTAGTCAGAGGAGCAGAACTCAGTCCTCATCATTGAGTGCCTGTATATCAGTGCTGTGAATATAGTAAGCATTCACCCTTCTGTAGATTAAAATGTGTTGTTAACTTTAAATGGAAGGGGGGGAGAGAGTGCTAACCCCTTTATCTTGGTAATATGAAAATACCTATTCTGTTTGGGAAGATCATGTCTGTAGCATTTCCTCTTGGTTTTTAGAAGTCCTTACCAGAGATCCAGAAAGAACATCGTAATCTACTTCAAGAACTAAAAGTTATTCAAGAGAATGAACACGCTCTTCAAAAAGATGCACTTAGTATTAAGTTGAAACTTGAACAAGTAAATGGTCACATTGCTGAACATAATTCTAAAATAAAATATTGGCAAAAAGAGGTGAGATTGTTATATTTAGCTAAGTTTAACTTTAAACATATCCTTTATAAAAGGCAGTGGGGAGATTGGTGAGGGTGCGTTGTAGGGTTTTTTGTTTTGTTTTCACTTATGATTCTTAATTCCATGATATAATCCTTTCTCAGGAAGTAAAATCAACAATATATAGTAATTATTGCTTACATAAGAATCTGAGTAATGGTTAGAATTAGGCAAGTTCCTTTTTACCCCCAGGGCTGATGTACAGATTTAACAGTTACATGCATACTTTGGAATGTTGCGACTATCTTCCTTGAAGTCCTTTGAAAAATAGGTTGATACACAGATTAGTCACAATTCCTGTTTTGTGACTAGATAATTGGTCATATTGTTGATTTATCTTAAATGATCAATTGTAGTTCTGTATCTATTGTAACACTTAGTTTAATTTAACTTTTAGATTTCAAAAATATCATTGCATCCCATAGAAGGTAATCCTGTTGAAGAAGTTTCCATTTTAAGCCCAGAGGATCTTGAAGCAATCAAGAACCCAGATTCTATAACAAATCAAATTGCAATTTTGGAAGCCAAGTGTCATGAAATGAAACCAAACCTTGGTGCCATTGTAGAGTATAAAAAGAAGGTATGAATAACCTTTTATGTATAACAAATTCTTTAGTCCTAAACTGTGACTTTCAGCTTTATATAATTAGTGATACTAATTTTCATCTGAAATTTTATCTGAGTATTCTTAAAATATTCTTTTTACAGGAAGAATTATATTTGCAAAGGGTAGCAGAATTGGACAAAATTACTTATGAAAGAGATAATTTCAGACAGGCATATGAAGATCTTCGGAAACAAAGGCTTAATGAATTTATGGCAGGTTTTTATATAATAACAAATAAGCTAAAGGAGAATTACCAGATGCTTACATTGGGAGGGGATGCTGAACTGGAGCTTGTAGACAGCTTGGATCCTTTTTCTGAAGGAATCATGTTCAGGTTTGTAATTACACAGGAGTTTTGAATTCTGTTAGCCTTCTCTACATATATTCTCATAGTATTTCTTGGGGTGTGGAAATGTGAAAGAGTAACTAAGCGATTTTCTTAATTATTTTAGCGTTCGGCCACCTAAGAAAAGTTGGAAGAAGATTTTCAACCTTTCAGGGGGAGAGAAAACACTCAGTTCATTGGCTCTAGTATTTGCACTTCACCACTACAAACCCACCCCTCTTTACTTCATGGATGAAATTGATGCAGCCCTTGATTTTAAAAATGTGTCCATTGTTGCATTTTATATATATGTAAGTAGGGGGTTCTCTAGATATTTGGGGGATAATATATGGAATGCTTTGACTTGGTATTGAGCTTTGTCCCTATTCTGTAAGCTTGTTACAGTATCAAAGGTGACCACATCTTTTTTATTTGAATCAAATACGTCTTGCAGAGCAGTAAAATATATAAGTTAATAATGCAAACTAGTAGCAGGTACACGGCTACAAAGAACTTCAGGCTTCCTTGCTGGATCTGTCTTAGAAGACGCCTGGCAGTTGGGACCAGCAGTTAGCATAATGGCTATGTCACTGGACTCCCACGTAGTCGACCGCAGTTCGAGTCCCGGACCCGGTGGCTTAAACTCATGCCAGGCGCGTGTGCATGCGTGCCCAAGATCCTGAGAGGAGAATGGAGAAGGGATTGCGGTGTGGCCATCCCCTCTGGTCTCTCTGTCTCTGTCTGGCGAACGACCGTACGCACCCTATAGCAAAAACCTCTCCTCAAAAAAAGAAAAAAAAAAAACACGCCTGGCAGTGAGGCTTCCCAAAATCCCCAGATTCCTCCCAAACTGAAGTAGTCCATAATGAATTATCTACACCATTATTCTTGTACATGTTCATTATCAATGTAATGTTTAATTTACTGCCCCCACAAATGTGCATGATGGGAATAAAGCATTCATATTTATTATGTGATTTATCTACTTACTGTTTCTAATTCTCTTTTTTTCTCCCTCTCTCTCTAGGAACAAACAAAAAATGCCCAGTTCATAATAATTTCTCTTCGAAATAATATGTTTGAGATTTCAGATAGACTTATTGGAATTTACAAGACTTACAATATAACAAAAAGTGTTGCAGTTAACCCAAAAGAAATCGCATCTAAAGGACTTTGTTGAACTTGGTTATACTGAAGAGTCTTCAAAGTGAATTGGCATAGAGCATAGAGTCAGTGTATTATATTACCGATTTCCTATTTGTAATGTACTGTGATTTGTATAAAATATTCTGTAACTGGGGCCAACCCTTGGCCTGCTGGGTAAGGCAGCTGCCTTCCATATGGCCAACTGCACGGGTCTGCAGTGGCTAGAGAAACAGTGCCGGGCATGTGTATGTGTGTGTGTGTGTGTGTGTGCGTGTGTGTGTGTGCATGTCCAGTACCCCAAAAGGAGGGAGAACTAGAGAAGGGATTATGGGTGACCTTACCCCCATGGGGGGGCTCTTTCTCTGTCTCTGATAGTTGCAGGCTTATAAATCTGGTTTCTGTTTTGTAAGTAATTTTTTAAAAATTTAAATAGCCTAGCCCTGGCTAGTACTGCTGGTGGATACTGCCACAGGACAGGTTTGAGCATGGTGACATAATGCCCATACTCACAGCAGCTTGGGAGCTTTAGGAAGATCTAAAGCTCACAACTGGCAATACAGCAAGACCCTGGCAGTGTGGACATGCAAGTTGTCCCAGCTGCTCTAAAGGCTAAGGCACAAGATTGCAACATGACAGGACACTGCCTAAAGAAATAAAACTTTATTTTTCTAAAACTTGATGTGTTTGACCATTTAAAACTTATTTGGCAGGGCCAGTAGGTGCCATGGTGGTTAAGGTGCTAGACAACCACACAGCTAGTTTTGAGTCTCAGACTTGGTGCCTTGGAATTCAAACTGGGTTGTGCACCCAAATCCCAGAGAGACCGCAGAAGGGATTGACCATCATTCCCTCTTTGTCTAACAATCATACATCCCCAAATTTGACTAGAGAACCAAAACTATGACAAAGCTGTATCTCATAAGTTAAAAATCTCACTAGAGTTGTTTTCTAAAAAGACGGAAAGATATAGGGGTTGGATTTCCTAGCTAATAAGTGGGAATTGGCCTTGTTTGCCTATCAAATTTTACCTTGTCAGCCCAAGAATGTTACATACAATGCCAATAGAAGTTGGAAATCACTTGCTTTTCAGAAGAAATTTTGGTATTGAACCAAGTCTTTGCCTTGTGATTTCTAGATATTTATCCTAAGGAATTAATGAGGAAAGGAATTGCCTCATAATTCAGTGGACCATTCTTTAGTTACTGGAAAGCCAAGAATTGGTAGCATAATATAGCCATTAGAAGGTAAGTGTAGGCCAGCTGAGTAGCACAGCAGTAACACTTCTGGATGCTGAGGCTCGGTGAAGGTCCAGGCTTGTGTTCCTAGTCTCCCTGTATACATGGGGTGCCTGTGTACACACTTGGATCCTGACTGCCTTGAGGCTTAGGGTGGATCTTGTCAAGAAGACCCTGTTAGGATGCCTATCTCAGTCTTCTCTTGTGAAAGAAATAAAAACTTAAAAATGTAAACAGTATTGTGATTTAAAATAAAGCAAGATCTGAAATTCATTTATGGCCATTTGTTTTAAATCAAAATTATGTAAGGGAAAGTAGAAAATGCTGTCATTATAACCAAGTGCTTTTTCACTGGTGAGAGTACAATGAAATTATTTGGCACCTTATTAAACCATTCAATACAAATAAAGTATCAAAATGAGTTTATTAAAATATATACTTCTGTTATACACAAAATTTAGAAATACTTCAAGGTTATATACTTTAAATTATACAGCCTCATCCTGGTAAAAATAAAGCATGGATAAAAATCAGTTACTTGAATATTTATATTCACACATAATGTTTACCGGTTTTGTCAACAATTCAAATTTGACAAGTTCTAAAAATATCAAATCTAAAATTATCTTAGGCCTATACTTCAGTTTTTAGCTGTAATTTTTAACACATAAACCCTTATTAACATTAATTCTGACTCAAAAGATTTGCAGCATGAACCAAAGAGTATACACTGGTTCTCAAACTACCTATATTCCCATCTACAAAAAGTGGGCATTAATGCCCACCACCTTGGATATGTGAGATGAAATGCTTGACACGAACACTTCATTGCTTACTAGTACATTTATTTGATGGTACAGGGCACTTGTAGCATGACTAAAAAGTAAACAGATGCAACAAGTTAAAAATACATCTTTACATTTGTTTTAAAAGCTGAGTGAAGCCAGTTCTGTGGCCTGGTAGATAAGGTAGCCAAATGCTATATGGCCCACTCAATTTGAGTCCTGAATTTGGTGGCTTAAACACTGAATGTCTCCGTTCACCTCCTTTACACCAAATGTTCTTTGCCCATACAAGTCAGTTGTGCTAGGTACAGTCTGAGCCTGTTGACTCAATACCATCATCTTATGTTAAGAGCATTCAACAGTTAAGACCCAAGGACTATTTGGAGCTAGTTCCCTGAATACAAATGTACTTACTCATTATAATTTAATCTTGGGCCAAGTGCATTCCCTATTCTGACTTGGCAAGCCTATCCAAGATAAGGATACTAGAGCTAATGATGCAAGAGCAGCTCATTTGGGATTTCTTGAAAGCAAATTTGCTTGGACTTAAAAGTTGTGTGTACAAGCCAAAAACCTAACCAGAAGAACCACAAATCTAACCCGTTAAGTGAACTAAATTAAGGGTTTTTTACTTTATTTTTTAATAAGACTTAAAAGTCAAGACTATAAAACCACTGGTATTTTTACAGTAGCATAAGGCAGAATCTGGCAAAATTTGAAATTTAGGGGGCCAAGAGGTAGTGGTGGTGAAGGCACTGGACTCACATGGCCAATGGTGGTTCAAATCCCAGGCATGGTGGCTTGCTTTCTCACTCTCTCTTTGGTGAATGTGTGTCCTATAGCAAATTTTAAAAAATATTTTATATATTTTTTAATTTGTAAGAATTTTTAAGATGAATATAGTTCATGTGATGCTTTCAAAATCTACTGAGGATGGACTAGCACAAGATGATTCTGTTCTAGTAACCTTTTTAAAGAGTTATTGGACCAGCAGGTGGTGTGGTGGTTAAGGCACTGGGTTTCCACGTGGCCAACTACAGTTCCAGTCCTAGACCTGGCTATTCCAATCACAGACCTGATGGCTGAGAGAATGAAGAGACTGCAAGGTGCTTATATGGCTCCCTCCCCACAGCACATGGACTCTATGGCAAAAAAAAAAGGTACAAGGATTTTTTAAAATGTCACACAGCAATATTAAGTCAGCCTCTCTCAAGGTAATAAAAATGGGATAATGTAGTGATACTAATATTCAAATCAAATAATTACTAGGCTTTACTATAATTTTCTAATGATTTGAATCATGTTTCAGATATTCTGATTTCTAGCTTTGTATCATTTCTAACCAAAAGAAGTATGAAAGATTTAACAAATTTCTATATATTTGTTGCAGCCTGTAAGTAAAGTTTAGTTTGCTATTTACTTATTGATGCTATTCCTATTTCTCCATTTAGCGATGGTTAGAGTCTGCTGTTCAAAAATAAGCCCATTTAAACAATTCAGATTTAAGTTTTCACTCAATGGGAAACTGTCTTCCACATGTATTCCTTCAACAGATATATAGTGTGACATACCGTATTCTTTATATCATGTAGATTGTTAGATAAACTTTGGTAAACAGATAGCGAGACTTCAGAAAAACATATTGAAGTGATTTCATTTACAAAGGTTATGATGTGTTGGTTGAAAAAGAGTATCACCATCAATATTACTGAAATTAGTGTAATTATAACAACGTTTAAAATTTTTAAAAATTCAACCTCATTTTCATCCTTCTCTGGCCAGGAACATGGCATCTTTTTGGATGAGATTTTCATTTCAGGAATGAGGGCCTTCTTAATTTGCCCAATTTCTGTTCTGTTCCATTCTTCTTTCAATACTTCGCTTACTCGAGGATAAATTACAACAGGTTGGACATCAGGAAGTGGTCTTTGTTTCAAGATCTGCACACGTTGGCGAACTTCATCAACCTTCTCAAGAAATTTTAGTGGAGATTCTTCTTGTAAAGATGTTGTCAGTGTCATTAATTCAAGCTGCTGCTCTCTTACTTCTTTCATTCTTTCAATTTGTGGAGTATACTCTTGATTAATGAGATTGCCAACATCACAGAGAGCTGTTAGGAAAATTTTTTTTTTCTCTTCTAAGGTATTGCTAAGTTCTTTAAAATACTGAAGAACAACTTCCTTATCACGCTGGATCATTTTCTCGGAATGAGATTTTTGTTCTTCCAGCTTTTCAATAAGACGAGTAAGATCTGTCCAGTGTGCATCAGTTAACTGTTCAATCAGTTTTCGTGGTGTGTCCTTTTCTTTCAGATAGGCACTCTGAAGGTCATCTATAGGATGACCATGATGTTGACCTATGGTAAGGCAATGGCCACAAACTAATTTTTTATCTAGTAGACAATAAACATTTAAAGGCTGCCTGTAATGTTCAGGGCAGGTGACAATATCTGGATGGTCTTCTTGCTGGTACTTTTCAATAATAGCCCTTAATGCAAAATTAACAGGTAAAGACTCAATACCAGTTGGAGCAATTTCAACAATACTTCTGCAGTTCGGGCACTTAAGTGGAATTCGTAAAGGTCTCCATATATAAAAATTACCAGATGCGTGAAGAACATTTTCTAAACAATTCCTACAAAATGTATGAGAGCATGGTAGCACACGAGGATCTTCAAAAATACTGTAACAAATGGGACATGTTAATTCGTCCTCAAAATTGTGCATTTCCTGTCAAGAAAAAAAAGAATTTTAAGTGTATAACAAAGCTTAGTTGTTAACCTCTCTCTATATATATATTTTATTTTTTTTTTTTTGAGAGGTTTTCACTATAGGGCGCGTGCGCTCGCCAGACAGACATAGAGACAGAAAGCGAGAAATCACCCCCGGGGGGGAAGGTCACGCTGCAATCCCTTCTCCTCCATTCTCCTCTCGCGATCTTGGGCACGCACACACACACACGCCCGGCATGAGTTTTAAGTCACCAGGTCCAGGACGCGAACCGCGGTCGACTACGTGGGAGTCCAGTGACATAGCCATTACGCTAACTGCTGGTTCCCCCTCTATTTTTTATTTTTTGGAGAGGTTTTCGCTATAGGGCGCGTGCGCTCGCCAAACAGACAGAGACATAGAGACAGAAAGCGAGAAATCACCCCCCAGGGGGGATGGTCACGCCACAATCCCTTCTCCTCCATTCTCCTCTTGGGATCTTGGGCACGCATGCACACGTGCCTGGTGTGAGTTCTAAGCCACCGGGTCCAGGACACGAACCGCGGTCAACTACGTGGGAGTCCAGCGACATAGCCATTATGCTAACTGCTGGTTCTCCCCCCTATATTTTTATCCCTATTTCTATTATTTAAAATAGAACAAGTTGTCCTAAGGTATTTAGTAGGATTTTTTTCATTCTTTTTTTAAGATTTTTGGCATAGGGCATATGCACTGGCTAGAGATAGAGCCAGGGAAACAGAAAGTGAGAAAGCACCCCCTCAATGGGGGATGGTCATGTCACAATCCATTTCTTTTAGGATTTTAGGGACAGGTGCACACACGCACAAACATAGCATGTTTTTCAAGTGGCTGAGGACAGGGCTCACTACTAGCAGTCAGCCATACTGGATCTAGCTACGTTAACCACCATGCTACTGGCTGGGCCCAAAGTAATTATTCAAATTCGAATATTTGGGAAGGGGAAAAATTTTTTTTTAATTAGTCCCTGCAATAAAATTAGTGTTGGGCCAGCAGGTGGTTGGGTGGTTAAGGTACTAGACCGATAGCAGTTCAGTCCTAGAACTGATGACTTGATTTTCTTACTTTCCCTGTTTCTTTCTGTTGTGCACACATGCTCTATAGCAAATTAAAAGGTAACAGTAATAAATGCAACTTTTAAAAAATTAGTGTGTAAGATAAAGAGCTGATAATGCTAACCTTGACGTACTGGCTTTTTTCTTTTTTTATTAGTCAGAGGGCAAATAAACTCACCAGAGAGAGAAAAACAGAGAGCATCTGGCCAGTGGGCTGTGGTTACACAGCAAACCCTTCATTTCTCCATCCTGTGGAGATTCTAGACATGCACACATACATACCCGGCATATTTTTCACGGGGGCAGGGACAGAAACTGTACTTGGCCATATGGAGTTCAGCTCCCTTAATCACCAGGCCACAAGGATAAGTCTCCATTTACCCCCTTTTTATTTTAAGATTTTTTTTTTCTGCCATAGGGCATATGCACTCAAAGCAAAGAGAGAGAGGGAGAATGAGAAATAACTTCCCAGGAGGGATGGCCACACCACAATCCCTTCTCTGTGTTCCTCTCGGGATTTTTAGGCATGCACGCATATGCACTTGGTGTGTTTTTAAGACTGTCGGGTCCAGGACTGGAACCACAGAGTTGGCCATGTGGGATCTAATGCCTTAACCACCACACCACCTTCTGGTCCTTCCCTAATTAACACTTAAAATAAATATAAAACCTCTTTAAACTTTTAAACTCTTGGCTCTTTATATTCGCCATTTGCCAAATCTTACTCATTCTTCAAGTCTCATTTGAGCCTGACTCTTCAGATTAGGTCCCTATTAATCTCACTGAATACTTTCACTTCATAGCACTTGACAGGATTTTATTTAAAAGAAATTTGTAACACTTTTATATACATTAGAATGTAAGTCTCAGATAAGAGCAGGAATTATGTCTAACAATAGTTATACTGTTATGATCGAAGCACAGGAATTAACATACAGGAGCCATTCACTCAGTTATTGGTTGAATTGACACAGGAATGTTAATAAAGATCTTAGTTTTTTAGTTTTATAGCAACAAAATCTGCTTTTATAAAAAACAGGTATTTAAAATCTGCTACTTTGCTCAAGAAAAGTTGTCACAGGAGAGTCCATCAAAAATATTCCTAAAATTTTAGAGGCCAGCAGGTGGTGTAAATGGTTAAGGCACTGAACTCACATGTGGATGGCCACAGTTTGAGTCCCAAGACCAGAGGCTCGAAACTCACTCTGGGCACATATACATTGCATGCCCAGAATCCCAAGAGGAAAAAGGAGAAAGGATTGTGGCACGGCCATCCCCCCTGGGGGGATGAATTTTCACTTTTTCTGTGTATCTGCGGCAAGCATGTGCCCCCACAGCAAAAAATCTCTCTTTAAAAAAACATCCCTTTGGGGAACCAGCAGTTAGCATAATGGCTATGTCGCTGGACTCCCACATAGTCGACCGCGGTTCGTGTCCTGGACCCGGTGGCTTAAAACTCACGCAGGGCGCGTGTGCATGCATGCCCAAGATCCCGAGAGGAGAATGGAGGAGAAGGGATTGCGGCGTGACCACCCCCCCTGGGGGGTGATTTCTCACTTTCTGTCTCTATGTCTCTCTCTGTCTGTCTGGCGAGCGCACGCGCCCTACAGTGAAAATCTCTCCCAAAAAAAACAAACAAACAAAAAAAAAGCATCCCTTTTATGCCAGTTCTGTTGGGACAGCCAAATCCCACAGGGCCAACCATGCTTCAAATCCCAAACCTGGCAGCTTGAGAAATAAGTGTGCATGTGTGCCCAAAATCCTAAGAGGAGGATTAGATGGAGGAAAATAAATCATGGCATGACCATGCCCCATGGGGTGCTTCCTCCTCTCTCTCAGGAAAGCAAACATTCCTTATATAACACTATGTTATATAAAAATGAAGTATAAAGTAATAAAAAGATAAAATTTAAAAATATTCCATTTATACTAATAATATTCACCTCTATATGTATCACACAGAGACTAAGCTTAACTGTGAAACATTCCAGGAAACTAGAGTAATTGGGCAGCAGTACAGAGGGTGACTTTCATTGCAGAAGACGACAAGTGAAGGCATGTCTACGCTACACCTAGAGAGAGCTCTGCCATCATATAAAAACCACCCAAGCAAACACTTTTCTCAGAGTACTCCAGTGATATCAGAACTCACAATGAAGGAATAAACTGAATAGCATTTTGCAAGGAGTAAAATTTGAGCAACAAACATACAGTAATCTAGATGTAGTGTTTTTAGTGCTATTTAATATTTAAGTAGCAAAACTAGCCCTAAAATAGAATCTAACTTTTCAAAGTCTTATTTTACATTTATCCAAAAGCTATGGAGTAACTTCAGAAAATCCATTTAGGAAATCAAAGACTCAACTTTCTTTAGAATGAGAAAATTCATGACCAGCAGATGGCATAATGGTTACATCACTGGACTCACGTAATTGAAAGTAGTTCAAGTCCCAAACCCAGTAGCTTCAAACACACACAGTGCACATGTGCGTGCATGCCCAAAACCCCGAGAGGAGAATGGAGGAAAAGGGACTGTGGCATGGCTATCCTCCCTGAGGGGTGATTTCTCACTTTCTTTTCCTCATATCTCTCTGGTGAGTGCGTGCATCCTATAGCAAAAATCTCTCTTAAAAAGAAAAGAAAATTCAACAACATTGTCAAGAAAATGTCTTTTCTTGAGTTTATATACAATGAAAAGTAAAAATCATGGTCTCAAAGTTACTACTATAGCTTGTAAAATGTTTAGTAAACTTAATAAGAAATGTGTATGTAAGTTGATTATCACAGAAATCAAATTCCATTCTCAGGTTATCCAATTGGTGATTTATTAAAAACTAATCTTAGGGACCAGCAGTGAGTGTAATGGCTAAGTCACTGGACTCCCATGTAGTCAACCATGATTCGAGCCCCGAACCTGGTGGCTTAAACTCACGCCGGGCGTGTGTGCATGCATGCCCAAGATCCCCAGGGGAGAAAGAAGAAGGGATTGTGGTGTGGCCATCCCCCCTGGGGGAGTGATTTCTCACTTTCTGTCTCTCTGTCTCTCTGATGAGTGCAAGCACCCTTATAGCAAAAACCTCTCAAAAAAACAAAACAAAAAAACTCATTTTAGGCAACACATTCAAGAGAAATCAAAACCAGTTAAGAGAAGCATGTCAGGTGGAAAAAGAACTAAGGCCAAGAACTTTCTGACTGGTTGTTGACTGAGAAATGTAAGACAAAGGTGGCTAAGGTGCTTAGGGGCATTTTACACTAGAATATTTCTGTAATCAGCCCAAACTACTGATGGGAAGAAAAACAACAAAAAACTACATATGTATATTTTCTAGCACGAACATCTTGGATTTAACTATATTGTATGTAAGTTTCCAAACAGTAAAAAAGTTAACAGTGAAATCTATTAGAAGACAATGAAATAATGCCTTCAATAGTCTCAGGCAAAAAAAATGCCTCCCTACCTAAATGGAACCTAAAATTTTATGCTCAGATAAAAAACTCATTTTGAGGGAAACCAGCAGGTGACATTGTGGTTAGGGCTCTGGACACTCCCACATGGCCAACCACAGTTTGAGTCCCAGACCTGGCAGTGTGCATTCTCTGTGTGTGTGTGTGTGTGTGTGTGTGTGTGTGTGTGTGTTTGTGCGCGCGCGCGCATGTGGTCAAATTAAAATGAATAAATAAAATTAAATATTTTTAAAATCATTTTGAGGGACCAGCAGATGGCTAAATGATTATGTCGCTAAACTCCCACATGGCCGACCACAGTTCAAGTCCCAGGCCTGGCAGCTTGAAACTCATGCTGGGGGTGTGGGGTGTGTGCATGTGTGCCCGGAATGCAGCGTGGCCATCCTCTGTGAGGGCTGATTTCTCACTTTCTGTCTCTCCAGTGAGTGCACAAAATAGCAAAAAGTCTCTCCAAAAATAAAA